GGGTAGGAACCGTCAATTTTACGAACGGGGCACCGGAGCGCCCTCAGGTCATCCCATGACATTGCCGGGCAATGTCACTTGAACCGTGGTGATATATATATGTGTATATATATATATATATATATATATATATATATATACACATATATATATAGGATTAACTCCAGTGAAATGACACTTTATGGTGAGATGACATGCTTCAGTCAGATGACGCAAAGCTCACCACTACAGTACAAAGCTCACCAATGGACAATGCAAAGCTTACCTGGAAATAAAGTAAAGCTCACCACTTTGAACCCCAAAACTCACCTTTTTTTAATTTTAAAAACTAAAAAATTAATTATAAATAAAATAGCAACACTGGTCAACCACCGGTCAACGGCGGCGGCAGGGGCGGAGCAGCAGCGGCGGCTGGCGACGACTGGCGACCAGTGGCGACTGGCAGCGGCGGCGGCGACCGGCGACTGGTGGTGACCGGCGGTAGCGACCGGCGACGGCAGGCGGCGGTCAATGCTGGAGTCAACGGTCAAAGTCTAGTTAGCACCCTTTCCTTTGATTTTATTTTTTCAAAAAAAATTCAAAGTGTTGAAAACAATATGGTGAGCTTTGTCTTAGAGTTTGATGAGCTTTGTAGTTGTGCTTAATGAGCTTTGCAGTGGGCAGTGGTGAGCTTTGCATCATTTGACCGAAACATGTCATTATATATATATATATATATATATATATATATATATATATATATATATATATATATATATATATATATATATATATATATATACACCAAGTTCTTCGGGATAACATTACTCTCTTCAAGAAATCAATTGCCAACAAGCAGTTCCTGGATGCTTTAAACAAAGGACAAATTCTTAGTTACTCGGGGGAAGTCATTAGAGTTACAAGGGAGGCTATGAAAAGCTTTGAGTATATTGATGCTGCTACATTTGCAGGAGCAAGGTACCCGATCTACCTTGCTTATGCGAATGAAGACATGGATGTTGTTCTAGCTCACTTGTGTGGTGATCAGGATTGATTCAGGATTTCACTTGTGGGTCTTTTTTTTAATTTTTTTAATTTTCTTGGCCTTTCGGTTTGTTGTTTGTTGTTTTAGTCATCCACTTCAGTTGAAATCAGCCCTGGGATTTATGGGATTGGTAGTCTTGGGCAACGGTTCTCTTTTGAAAGTATCCTCTTGATTGCAGTTTACTAACTCATGATTTGATGGATCTGCTTTACTCTCAATGGGAGCAAGAGTTGAAGGCTAGTGCGCATCTGCTATTGCACATCCAATTACTTGTTGCTCTCTGTTTATTGCTGGAATCCCCTCTGGAGACTGATCTTCGTTGAAGGCATAGGTTGCAGGACAGGGAACCATTGCCACTAATCTCTTGGGATCTTGCTGGATGGAATTTTCTATTATGAGTTTTTGAATATTTTTGGGTCTTCATAGTCCTTGGTCCATCCTCTTTTGTTTGTTTATGCTTTGGGTCTTTTATTATGCTTTTGGAGTCTTTGTTTTGGCATCTTGTTGGGCTCGGCCAACCCCCCCTTTTGTACCTTTATTTTTCATTAATAAAATCTCTTTATAATAAAATATATATATATATATATAGATCTATATATATATATATGTATGTATATATATATATATATGTATATATATATATGTATATATATATATATACACACACACACACATATACACATATACACATATACATATATACATACATATATATATATATATATATATATGTATATATATATATATATACATACTAGCAAATTTGCGCGGGTTGCGCGAGTTAAAGTGCCCGATAAGAATTTTAGCCAAGATTTTTTATGGTTTTTGCTTACAATTTATTATAATTGAATTTGTATATAATCCTATTTGTTCAACACCTCACGAGAAAAGAAGCAAGTGAATATAATTTAAGATATGATACATGACTTTTTTTAGAGGGGGGTGGGGTATATAGACCTATTAAAATTCATAAGAAATGTTTCTTATAGCATTGAAGTGGCTCATAAGCAATGCAATAATGTCTATAATAAAGGTCAAGAATTTCTCAAATGTATCATTTAAATGAATTATAAGTCCATAAGACTAATGGTAATAATTTGACACAAGATGTATATTGATTACAATTAAAAGTAAATTAAAGACACATAAAACAACACAATGGGGCCAATTTGCTTGTACACGCTGTTTTTTTTAATACTAAGTGTACACTACTTTTGTTTATTTTACCTTTGTAGGTACAAGAGTGCTCCAGCTAATTGCTTTCCTTTCCCAGATAAAAAAACACATTGGACAACATGATATGAGATTAAAAAGAAACGTAAAACAATCATCAAATCAACATGTGTGGTAGCTTGTTAACAACTCTATTTTGTTTTCATTTCAAAAAAACGAGAAAAGACTCAAACTTAGGGTGAGTTATTGAAAGATCTAATCTGCAGTTAAGACATGGTTATTTGTTTGCCTCTTTTTATAATACTGTTTTTCAAAAAAAAAATTATCATTATAAACCATGCATCAGGCTGGGAGTTGATTATTCTCATACATTACCATTGTGAATTCAAAAATTGCCCGAGAAAGAAAACAAAGAAAAATTTGAAATGAAATAAAATATTTGTAGGAAAAAATAAAACATTAAGCAGGCAAATGCAATACCTTCCTGAAGAATTAGCTACCTGTGATGATCTAATTGAGCTCTTCTTCCTTCTACCAGTCGATATGACTTGCAAACAGTTCTGCGGATGCCTTTCCCCGTTTCTTTGACATCACAAGTTGCTTCGAAAATTCTCAAATGATAGATTGCTTAATTTCATTTTTTTACCTGCTAATACCAATACATAAAAAATACTGCGTTGGTAATTTGTTGCATCATATCAATATGAAGAATCAAGACTCTTTTTTTCATAATTCAGTTCCAAAAAAAAACAATGAACATTAAAATAAATAAAACCAAAAAACAACAAAAAATAGTATTATTCAAAACCCAAAAACCATTTACAAATTAAACCACAACACCAAACCTCAAATCTTGTACCCCTAGCATGAGTCATCTCCCTATCCAGTTTTTAACACGTGTATCTGTGACATCTCCCTTGCTTCAAACTTGTCCCACATCTTCCAAAACAAAAACTGCTCATTAAATATCAAGCGACAAATAAATATTTGCTTATACTATCAAATGTAATTTTGTCTTACTCCTCATTCTGGATAATAAATAATTTTGATTTAAAGCATGTGCATAAATAGTCCAGCGATAAGTTGCATAAGTCATAAATAGACTCTAGTTGGCTTCAATTAAAAATTCAAAGAAAAATTAGAGCAATTAAGATATTACATATGAATGAGGGTTCTTGGCACATTGCTAAGTCCTAGACCTAAACAATAGTGTCATCAGAGCAAGAACAAAATTTCACATCTGTTGCATGTCACAGCTTTTGGTGGAAGAGGAATAAAAAAAACTCAAAGCTTCTCAAGTAAATCAATTGGCCTGTAAAGTTTCAGTGACCTTTTTTAACTCCATCCCCTTTTGATTTACCACATGAAGTTAAAAAAAAAACCAAAGCTCTCATAAAAGAGAACCTTCTAGAGTAATGAAAGCCTAAAATAATATTCTCACACAAAGGCATTTGTTTGGTGAAGAGAAAAAAGCATAGCTTTGCTACCTTTTAAACTATCAGAAATACGAAATATCTTGTGTTTGGACTTGCAATCCAATCACATCTTCAATCCAAGTTAATCTCTCAAATCCTGGATTTCACGTTGTTGGCTTTTCTAGTCCATTCTTTAATCTAACTTCTATTCCTCAATCTGTATATTTTATAAAAATATGAAGAAGCATACCACGGAGTACTAAACAAGAAAGCTAACTGTGGAATCTCAACATAATATAACCACACATAAATCAAGCACTAAATACAACATCACATACCTGCTGCAATAAGGGAGATGATGGACAGTAAGGAGAAGAATAGAACAGATGCTCCTATTGCTATTAACTATGCTCTCCAATTCCTCCTCAGTGAAGCGCATGCTTTGAGAACCAATTGCGGAAGCGACTCGTAACATGGATGGCAACATGCGAGTCAGCGGCTTTGAGTTTTAGTCGGAAATGGCTTGAATATGCGCCTATCAAACACTTATTAGTTATTACAAAGTAAATATTTTTTATTGAGGAAATTACAGAGTAAATGTTAGTATAGTATGAAAACTCAGGCGGTTCGCAACTTCTTGCGGAGTATAGTTCTAAACGCCAGCACAACAACTTGGCTTCTAAGAATGATGCAAGTTTAAACAGTAAGGACATTTTTGGCTGAATAACTAAAGGTACAACTTTCTAAGCATGGTTTACAAAAAATATGGATGGAAAAAGTGCATTTATTTTCCATTTATATAATAAGAAAGATACTAACGCACGGGCTTGTTTTTAGGGCTTGGTGTCGAATAGTGTTGTGGTGATGCTTGAGAATTGTAAGTTTTATCTTGTGTTTCGTGTTGTTTTTTGTTGGTGTTCGTGGTAGTGGTTAGAGTTGTTTTTTTATTTGTAGTTTTTAACTCAGTAGAATAGAATAGTAAGGTTGGTATTTGTATTTTTGTTTGGTATTATTTTGTAAGATTACATTGTTTTTTTTGTTTCGTGGAATGTAAAATGTGAATTTGTTGAAGTTGAATGTTTTGTAAGTTAAGTTGTAAAAAGTTTTTAGTATGATTACATTGTATGTTTTTTGTTTGGTATTATTTGGTAAGATTACATTGTATATTTTCGTTTAGTGGAATGTAAAGTGTGAAGTTGTTGAAGTTGAATGTTTTGTAAGTGAAGTTGTTGTAAGTAATGAGTTTGTAGTTATTTTAATAATTTGGTTGGTATGTGTTGGTGTAAGGATGGTTGTTAATAATGAGTTGTTTTTTTGTTTTGTCTGTCATTTTTTATATTAAAAATGTTTGAAAAGGTACATACTGTGAATGAATCAGGAATATATATATATATATATATATATATATATATATATGGTATTGACTTGAAATTGAATATGAACAAAACAGACTTCTCTTCTATCTCTTATGCTTAAAGTATGAAATGCTAAAGATAGATCAAATTTTAGGCATGTTTATTATATGCTTGGTAAGACATGAAAATAGAATTGGAGAAGGAAGCTAAAGGACATTACGCCTAAGGAATGAAGGAAAACCTCTTCGGGGTTAAAGACGTGTACATTGCATATTCTCTCTGAAGTTGTCGGTTAACAGTTTCAAAGGAGGCGTCCGTTTTCAGAAGATTATAATGACAAACTCATGGGGTGTAAACATTATTGGATACATGAAAAGTACAGTGATGGTTATGAGGCATAACTGTAAGGTTTTATTCATTCATGGGGCATGTATTACGTCATAAACAGTGTTAAAAGTAGTAGTATATATATGTTTCAGGCAGTGTGTGTAGGAAGGCATATAAGTTTGGAGTATGGGTAGGACTTCATATGATTTTAAAATAAGAAAACTTACAGCATTTACTTTAGAACAAACATAAGAAAGAGCAGTGGTAAAAATTGGCAGTTCGTAGGATTTCATTACATAATGTTTTCACGGTTATGATGAGGTTTTAAGTTTGAAGTGGAAAAACTGGTTTGGGGTTGAGGATGGTTATATGTTGATGGTTAAGATGTGAAGAGAATATACAGTTATGTCATTAAAAGTGAAGACATTTAAATTTTGATTGTTCGGACTCCATAATTCAGGATATATGCTTGTCAAGTAGACATGAGTGAAGTGGAAAAAACTTACAGGCCCCCAAAATAGTTAGTCCATCCTTAAGTGTTCAACAACTATCAGTGGGAAGGTAGAATCTGCAATATGATTGCTGAAGTTAGATAGGCTACAGTTTCATTTGTTAAGTAAGCATAATCTTAAATTGTGAGCCAACATAGAAAGCAGCTGGTTAAAGGGCATCGAATGTCTGTAGGGATGAGCAAACGTAAGTCAAGATATCATGTGAAATACGATCAGGTGAAGGTAGAAGACATTTTTTTGCATATATTATGTAAGCAGAATCTTAAATACTGATGCAACATAGACAGAATGGCCTTAAACATTCTCTTATGTCATAAACCATGATCACTAAAGAATTAAGATGAAGTATGTTTCCTTAATAATCAATAGGCACGGAAAGTAAAGAATAAGGTTGTGAATGAAAGTGACATTGTGTAGGAACCAAATTACACAAACCATACTACTCCTCAGCCAAGGGAAAACGAAAAGTATGTCAAAATCGTATAAACTTCTCATCAGACATGAAATACTTCAGCATAGTTTTGAGATGCTACTGCATATTGGAATATACCGCAGAGTATCATTTACTTGATCATGCATAGTGTTCAGATGCAATCCATAAATAATGTACTCCTTGGTAAACGCAAAGAAAGCCACTGTCAACATATTCAAACATTAAAATAAAAGTTAATGAAAGTAAACATAATGATGATATTCAAATAGTAATGAAAGTGATACAGTATGTGTAAGTTCATCAAAAACCCAAGGTAAATAGGAAAGCAACCCGGCTGTCGTAAGGTGTGACTAAACCTATTACCCAAGAATAGTGCTTAATCTTGATGAAAAAAATATATCGAATTCTTTAGGATTGGTCAACATAAAAGAATGAATACCTAAAACCTGTTACCTAGACGTATATAGTAAGCGAAAGGCAAATGTGTAGAATAGATCTGGTATTCGTAGTCTACCCAAGTTTGAGGGCAAGAGAGCGAGCAACAGGAAGTGCAGGCACGGGCTATAAATGGGATGGAAACTGGAAAAGGAAGGTCTGCAGTTTCTATAAATTTTGGACCATTGTGAACTCAAGTTGCTCATAGCCATACATTTTCTAAGTGTAATAACACCATAAGATCAGGCAGTGCGTCATCCAAAAGACAATTTAGAGCAGGAGTCCATGCTCTAGATGAATAAAGTCATGGCACACTTTCACATTGGTATTTGGAAGGGGTAAGCTGTGTTGAAATAGGCTTTTCAAGACCATCTGAGCATGCAATCACAATTGCTTACCAAACCAAATACTGTCCTCCAACCCTTACACAGTGGTCAGTGTATACAAATCTACTTTTATATAACTTAATAATTTCAGTTGCCCATTGTTTTTCCTCTATGGTGCTTTAAAAGGTTGTGTCCCATGCTAATTTCTTACTCTCCTGTGCAGTTTATACTTTTCCAAAGTTATACTTTGTCGCTGTACTTTTTAATCAACCAGTCTTAACTACATACCTAAAACAATGCAACCTTAAAAGACCACAAAAGTAATATGCAATTCTGCAGATTGTATGGTGCATATGTTTTTCCAATAAGCCAAAGTTTTTAAATATAAACTAATTAAAAGGAACACAAATATATCCAGCTAAGTGAGGTTATTTTAAAATTGTTCTGTTGCTGAAGTGTGACCTGTAACTTACTGGTGAGTAGTAGTTTTCATTCCTGTCTGTAATAAAGGGTATTAATTGACACAACTCCTTGGTAGTTGTGATTGAAAATTGGATTCATCTTCAATGTTAAAAGAGAAGTGAAACTGATACATCTAAAAATAGTATTTGTTTTCAAACCAGCACAAAAGTGTTGATTCTTTAGTTAAAAAATCAAACCTTATTAGACAATGGGAAAAAAGAATCTAATAGCTTATAATAAGATACTAACCAAATTCAGGGGGGAAAACAAAGAACTCACAATTCAATCGTAATGTGTCCTCTAGTGAGATGATATTCTTTCACTTGTCGTGTGTATGCCACTAACACTGTCATGGCTGCAAACACGTCCATTCTTATGTATTCCCTGCCAAATTATAGCTCAGATCATTTAGCCACCAAAGTGTTCTAAACCTTGAACAAAGCTCACCGTGAATGAAATAACTATTACATGGGGACCCATATACAAACACCTACCACTGCATTTTTTTCTGTTTATTAATAAACCAGAGTGCAGTAACATAAATTATGCACTTTCATTAATGAAGGGTATATAGAAGCAAAATCCAAAATCTGAGCATGAGTTCTCGTAAACCAATTCTGAGTTCCAAAACCTATAAACATGTGGCATCTTAAAACAAAGTTAAAAGCTATGGTTACTATTAATAGGAAGGACATCTAAATAAATTAACAGTTATAAAAATGGCAATATGTCATGTGGTATACTATAATTATTAATGGAATAAGGTATAGTGAATGGTTAAATGTGTGACTAAAGTCAGTACATGGGGGCAAGTATAATACATGGAAAGGAAGGATAGAATATTGAATGTACTTTTCTAATTAAGGTAAATCATTTTATTCAGTATTACATTAGGCCTTTCTTAAACCATACTTGAAAAGGAAGAAAAGTTAAATCAACAGGTGCTTTAATATGTGTAAGGTTGCAGGTACAAATTTACGTAGGAAATGTCTACGTTGGTCACCTCTTTAAAATCCGAAATAGCCAGGTCACTGATTTCAGAAGTGAAGTATGTTTCATTAATAATGAGTATGGCAAGGAAAGTAAAGATTAAGGTTGTCAATGAAAGTGGCAGTTTGTTGGAACCAAATTACCCAAACCATAGTACTCCTGAGACCAATGGGAAAAACCAAAGGTATGCCAAAATCGTATGAACTTCCTATTAGACATGAAACACTTCAGTATAGTCATTCAAAGTAATTGACATTGAACACCATAATGTACGTGGGTAAACGTAAAGAAAGCCACAGTCAACATATCCGAAGATTTGAATTAAACTTAATGAAAGTAAAGAAAAAGAAAGTAGAAATGAAATTGACATAGTATGTGTAAGTTCATTAAAAACCAAGGTAAAGAGGAAACCAACCCGGCTGTTGTAAGGTGTGACAGAACACATGACTGAAGAAGAGCGCCTAATCTTCATGAAAATTACAATTGGAATTCTTTAGGTTTGGCCAACATGAAAGAATGAATACCTAAAACCTATTATAAGCAGTCTTGTTGTATTCGGTAAGTTTGACACGGAAAACAAAACGACGACCAATAATGTTGGCAAGCAACGCTGGCAACTCTCCCTCTGATTCATTTCCCTAAAAGTAGTAATTTTATTTTTAAAAAAATAGCTGTAACAGGGGGGGATAAAATTTTCGCATTTATTGATATTGGTAATTACCTCAATTTTGTCTTCTATATCATACACGCTCATGGCTGATTGCCCAATAGTCTTTTCAGCTTCCTCATCAAAGATTATAAACCTTGTAAACTCGTTATCATCCTTCACCCCAACATCTAGACGATACCTATGAATAGCAAAGAAGTAAGTATTTTATGTGTTTCGAATTCATGGAATATCCCATAAAGTAGTTAATTTAAATTCCCTAGAGTATTACTCTATATTATATTCATTTTATTTCTTCCAGTTTTCCAACCTCTTTTAAGTATAAACCGAGCGTGGAGCATACCTCGGAACAGCATCATCCACTACTGTTTGGCATTTATTGCACCAAAACTTGTCTCCGCATGCTTTGATCAACCGTTTGCAATTACGGCATGAATTGTAATACCAACCATTGTTCTTGTTGATATCATATATCCAAGCATGACTTACCTCCTATCCTGTAGTTCTAGCATAAGGCAAGGCACCATACGGTTATGAATGTGCTTCTCCTCTATCTTGCCCTCACTACAAATGTGACCAACTACATCTGCACATATGTAAAAGGTGTTTGTATGTTCAAAGGCAGACTAAAATGAAAAATAAACTCGAGCAACGACTAAAAAACCTGTAAGGATATATTCTTGGTTCATTCTGGTCTCAACCATATCAAAGGGTAGTAGGTCAAAGCGATGCATTGGGATGTTGGATGTATCATCAGGAAGGCGTTTGACAGTAGAGTTTGCATACAGTTGGATCATAACTTTGTTGTCTCCCACAACACGATACCGGTTCTTGTTATCAACAACAGCAAAGTTCTTGATATAATAAACAATACCTTCAACAATCGAATTACGAAAAGCATGTGCCCAACTCCCTTTGATGCGCATGAATATAAGAGCCCTTTATAGTAAGACGAACACATGTTAGAAAAAAA